ACTTCATCAACGGTACTCTACATCGTCTCAGAGTCGGCAAAAATTTTAAAAGGTAAACATCCATATCCTAACTATAGATTCCGCTGTGTTAGGATTTATTTCGATAAAGTTCAATAATGTGCATGTTGTTTGACGTTCCTAACAGAACCCAACAACTGGTATCAGAGCCCAGGCTTAATACAAACTCCTGCACAGTTTGAATTTTGGACTTTGCCTGTCTACATGAATTATGTGCGTACGGACGCAGTGACATAGTAGATTAAAAGTTGCAATAAGTTTTTGCAGGTGTTTCGAATCCGACTATTGTGGCCCGTGTGTATGGATTTTAATTCATGTTGAATGTATGCTGTTTTTACAGCCTTGGACATGTCAAGGAATTTTTTGGGTTGGTGAATTCTTGTAATAAATTATTCGCGCGGTGGGACACCGCATAGTTTATTGCTTTCATAGAAACTCATGTACGGCTCCTGCGTGGGTCATAGGATGAATTATGTAATTATTGTTTATATTATTTGTTATTGATCCGGCGGGCGTGGACCAACCTTGACGGGGCAAGGCGATAAACACGTACACGGATGCCATGGTGATGACCCAATGGCGACTTTCTCGGGGACAACCAATTCAGTGGGAGTCACTGCGAAAGGGGAGTTCCAATACCTGAAACGGAGGACACACTCAACAAGGACAGGACTGTGTTTTCTCCGTAACATTGGAGATTGATAGGCCATGATAGTTGGATTATAGTTCTTATTTATTATTGCTCATTAATCATGCATGTTTTATGTGATTGCTTATGTGCAAATAGCCAAATACAAACATGTTCTCGAAAATCCCATAAAATATAAATTATATTAAGTGTATAATGGGTTGAAATAAATTACATCCAAGGCCTCCATTATAGTTTTGTCAGTGAAGTGATTTAATTCGAGCCCAAAGGACATTTTATTTCACAGTTCACAAGGACGAATCTCCTTTGGGATGGTTATAGTGAGCTATTTCAAAAGCGTACGGGTCGCCCAAAGGTGGACGTATAAATTTGGTAGTAAACTTAGTACCAATTAATGGGTTACGTTTAAAGTGCAAATAATTACGATACTCCCAAAGGACAAGGTCGTTTTTATTCTTTTATAAAGTTAATTGCGCTGGCCAAAAGATGAAACCGACTATTAGTTAAGTATTGCTCGACAGTATGTTAAGCTAATTGGTATTTATCCCTCCTCTTGCGAATGTTTGAACCATAGACGTCTACACTCCGTGGCCTACGGGGATTCGATGCTTTGAGTTGTTTGGTGAATTTATTTGAATATTGTTAAATGGGATCAATATTTGATGTATAAATTCAAAACTTCTTGACTGAGTAAAGACTATGTTTGCATGATCCCAAGAATTCAAAATGTCTTTCAATCTGTTGTCCGTAATTCTCAAAGAAAACAAACTTGTTGGTCCCAATTATATTGATTGGAAAAGGAACTTGGATATAGTGTTAACTGCTGAAGGGTACAAATTTGCTACTGTTGAGGCTTGTCCGGCTGCGCCTGCTGACAATGCACCAGACCAAGAGAAAGAGGAGTATGCTCGGTGGAAAAAGGCTGACGATATGGCAAAGTGTTACATCTTGGCATCTTTGTCAAATGTACTTCGACATCAACATCAGTCTATGAACACTGCAGCGGACATGCTCCTCAATCTCAAGGTGTTATTTGGTCATCAGTCGCGGGCTGCCCGACAAGAGGCCATGAGGGTTTTGATGAATATGACCATGCACGAGGCACTCCCGTAAGGGAACATGTTCTTGCTATGATGGCCCAGCTGAATGAACTGGAGGTTCTTGGGGCTTTTATTGATGGGGAAACCCAGGTTGATATAGTGCTCCAGTCTTTGCCGAAGAGCTTCGAGCAATTCCGGTTGAATTACAACATGAATAAGATGTTGATGACTCTTCCAGAACTTGTTGCTGAATTTCAGTAGGCAGAGGGCCTGTTTCGTCAGAAGAACCAAGCTATGGTGGCCCAGCAGGGAGAAGCTTCCAATTCTAAGGCTCCTAAGGGCAAGAAGAGGAAGAAGTCTGCAGGAAAGGGCAAGGCGGTCTTGAGTGACGCGCAACCTCGACAAAAAGCGAAGAAGCTGAAAGGCAAGTGCTACAATTGTCAGCAGAAAGGACACTGGTAGGCAAACTGCCCTCTTCCCAGGAAACCCGGCAAAGGTACTCCTTTTGCTTTAGACGTTGAAACATGTTTAGCGGTGTTATCCACCAGTACCTGGTGTGTAGATACAGGGGCCACTGATCATGTCTGCAAATCATTGCAGGGGTTCCAGGAAACCAAGCGACTTAGGGAATGAGAAGTTACCATGTACTTGGGCGATGCTAGTAGAGCATCAGCAGTTGCAGTGGGAGACGTCTATTTAGATTTTGGCTTAGATAGGTTTCTAGTTTTGAAAGATTGTCTTTATGCTCCTTGTTTTAGAAAGAATTTGATTTCATTTTCCAAGTTGTTTATGAACGGTTTTTCCGCTACGTTTGATAATAAAGTTATTATTCGTTTTAGCAAAATGTTCATATGTTCTGGTTCATTAGTTGACAATCTATACATTCTAGAATCTAAGGCTTCTCCACTGCAACAGAAACAATTACTTAATTCATCATCTAATCTGAGCGGTATCAAATTGGCTTCGCGCTTACGTTTTTCAGCAGCTTCTACCTTCGCGCGCGTCCCATCTTGTCGGCCTCGGCTGCCCCATCTGTGGAGAAGCGCGCCGCGGCTCGTCGCCAAACTAGGTCGCCGACCTAGAACTTTTGAGAATGCACCTTCTTGTCGTGGGCCAACCTAAGACTTGGTCATATTAACCTTAGGAGGATTCAAATGTTGGTAGCAGACGGGCCCTTGGGGTCATTAGAAGTCGAGGCTTTTCAACTTGTGAGTCTTGCCTGGAAGGTAAGATGACTAAGAGGGTTTTAGTTCAAAGGGCGTAGAGCCGAAGATGTGTTAGTGGTAGTTCATTCCGATCTATGTGGTCCTATGAGTATTCAAGCGAGAGGTGGTTTCGAGCACTTCGTTACGTTTATCAATGATTACTCGAGATATGGGTACATTTTCCTTCTGCATCGCAAGTCTGGATGCTTTGAGAAGTTCTTGGAGTATAAGGCAGTTGTGGAGAAGCAGTTAGGAAAAAGTATCAAGTCATTACTATCCGATCGTGGTGGCGAATATCTCTCGAATGAATTTAGGAACTACTTGACGGATAATGGGATTACGTCCCAGCTGACTGCGCCTGGCATGCCTCAGCAGAATGGCGTAGCAGAACGGAGGAACAGGACTCTTATGGAAATGGTTAGGGCAATGATGAGTTATAGTACATTACCAGATTCATTTTGGGGATATGCCCTAGAAACAACGGTATACATTCTGAATAGAGTACCTTCTAAATCAGTACCGTCTATACCATTGGAGTTGTGGTCTGGGCATAAGCCTAGTCTAAGGCATCTCAGGATTTGGGGTAGTCCAGCACATGTGCTGAGAATCGATACTGATAAGTTTGAACAAAGATCAGAAGTAAAGCTATTTGTGGGATATCCTATGGAAACGAAAGGTGGTCTATTTTATATTCCCGAGGACCAGAAAGTAATCGTTAGCACGAATGCTAGGGTCTTGGAAGAAAACTATGTCTTAGATCATAAGCCCAGTAGTAGACATGTTCTTGAGGAGTTAAAGGGAGTAAGTACTTCAATACCGAGTGCGCTAGATGTTACACCACAAAGTACTGCAACACGTATCGCTGATGATGCACTTGAGCAGGTAGTACCTCGTCGTAGTGGGAGGGTTGTCCGGCAGCCCGAACGGTTCATGGGTCTGGGAGAGTCTTTTGAGGCCGTCCCGGACGTTCTTGAATCTGACACATGGACATACAATAAGGCACTCCAAGATCGGGACGCAGAGTCTTGGCAAAAGGCGATGAAATCTGGAATAGAGTCAATGGACACTAATCAGGTTTGGGATCTTGTAGAGCCACCCAGTGGCGTTCGCGCCATTGGATGCAAGTGGGTCTATAAGAGAAAGAGAGGAGCAGATGGGAAGGTTGAGACCTTCAAAGCTAAGCTTGTTGCGAAAGGGTACTCTCAGGAAGAAGAGATCGATTATGGAAAACCTTTTCGCCGGTAGCCATGCTCAAATCGATCAGGATTCTCTTGGTTGTGGCCGCTCATATGGATTATGAGATTTGGTAAAAGGATGTTAATACCGCTTTCCTTAATGGGAATTTGGACGAGGACATCTATATGCAGCAACCAGAAGGATTCATTGCAAAGGGCCAAGAGCATCTGGTCTGCAAGCTGAAGAGGTCCATTTATGGGCTGAAGCAGGCTTCGAGGTCTTGGAACATCCGTTTTGACGAGGTTGTCCAATCGTATGGATTTACCCAATTTCTGGATGAGCACTATGTGTACAATAAAAGTGATGGAAACATGGTGGTGTTTCTAGTGTTGTACGTGGATGATATTTTTTTCATTGGAAACAGTGTGAAGATGTTATCAGACGTAAAGGTAAGGATATCCAAGCAGTTTGATATGAAGGATTTTGGAGAAGTAAGACATGTTCTCGGAATCAAGGTCATTCGCGACCGAGAGAAGAGAAAGTTGTGCTTATCCTAATCCACATACATAGACACTGTCCTAAAGCGTTTCAACATACAGGATTCCAAGAAAGGGGACTTACTCTTTCGGCATAGAATACCTCTATCTAAGAGGATGTCCCCGAAGACGCCTCAAGAGATAGAGGACATGAAGGCAGTTCCTTATGCATCGACAATAGGAAGACTCATGTATGCTATGTTGTGCACGCGACCTAATATTTGTTATGCCGGGGCATGGTAGCAAGATATGAGAGTAATCCAGGATCGGAACATAGTCTGCGGTAAAGCATATACTAAAGTACCTACGTAGGACTAAAGAGTACATGTTGATTTACCAGGCAGATGAATTGCTTCCGTTGGGTTACACCGATTCTGACTTCCAGGAAGACCAGGACGAAAGCAAGTCAACCTCAGGGTTTGTGTTTACTTTGGGAGGAGGAGCCATAGGATGGAGGAGTGTCAAGCAGAAATGCATGGTGGACTCAACCATGGAGGCTGAGTATGTAGCAGCCTCAGAGGCAGCGAAAGAAGCTGTCTGGCTTAGGAATTTTCTCCTCGACCTTGATGTGGTACCGAGTTTGCCCGCTGCGATCACAGTGTTCTGTGATAACAGCGGAGCAGTAGCAAATTCGAAGGAGCCACGGACTCATAAAGCGAGTAAACACATAGAGCACAAGTACCACCTGATACGAGAAATCGTTGGACGAGGAGAAGTCGTTGTTGCCAAGATACATTCAGAGGACAACCTAGCAGATCTTTTTACGAAGAGCCTACCGGCGAAAGTTTTTACAAGACACGTAGAAGGAATGGGAGTCAGATGTTAGGGCAACATAGTGGACTAGTCTTTGAGAATTTGATTGAAAGAAATTGTGGTTATTTTGTTTAGCCATGAGCTTATAAAGCATAAGTGGGAGATTGTTAGAGGTATGTTGTAAAAGCTATGTTTTGCAGATTCTATCAATTCCATTTTGATCTGGCAATCATGTTTCGGTCAAAGTACATATGTTTGCAGTTTATTTATTTATGCAATACATACTCCATATCTTATATTGAGGGAGTGTGGTTCGAAGTGTTTCGAACAAAAAGATCACCTATCGGTTCCTTATAAGACTAAATCATTCGTTCACAGTCTAGGCTGGCAGTGAGACCCCACTTGAAAAAAGATTGTAGTGTATTCTTGATTCAGTTGGTCTTTGACTAGAGAATTACACTAGCACTTATGTTAAGTGTTGAATAGGACCGCGGAAGGGAAAAGTTATGAGACTCACTGACCGTTGTTGTAACCTCGTCCTTCAGTGATTGATGCGTTCTCTTAAGCTGTAAGATAATATAAAATAGGTATATAATTTTATTTCTTATTTATTTGATTTACCAAATGATTCTTATTTTAATAGGTTGACATACGAGCTATTTTGGTAAGTAAGAATAATTATATGATGTGCTATTATAAATTATTTACGGTCACTATGTTCCAGTGTGCTGGATTGATGACGTCCCTGAAATGAGCTCAGGAATGTACGTTATGTCAAAACCCAACGCTGTCCGCGCCCGACGCGCACGATCGCCCGCTGCAACCTGACGATCGAGACCAAGCCACCGTGTGATCAAAGCCTCATTTGACGTGTCGATTAGAATCGACTAAAGGCCAAACCTATCCGCCCATTAGGTTGTGGTGTCCAGACGAACTTCATCAATGTTACTCTACATCGTCTCAGAGTCGGCAAAAATTTTAAAAGGTAAATGTCCATATCCTAACTATAGATTTCGCTGCGTTAGGATTTATTTTGATAAAGTTCAATACTGTGCATGTTGTTTGACATTCCTAACAGAACCCAACACCGTAATCATTATGCCGGAGAATACATCCGCCTGCAGGGCTCGACATAATATTCATTCCTGAGCTCATTTCAGGGACGTCATCAACCCAGCACACTGGGACACAGTGACCGTAAATAATTTATAATGGCACAACATATAAACACACTTATTTACCAAAATACCGAGTAAGTCATCCTAGAAAAATATGAATCACCCTTGATAAATCAAATAAATAAGTAATGAATACATATGCCCATTTTATATTATCTAGATTACAACAACAATTAGTGAGTCTATTAATATTATCCTTTTGTGGTCCTGTTCAACACCTATCATAAGTGCTAGTGTAATTGTCCTGTCAAAGACCAACTGAATCAAGAATACACTACAGTCTTTGTCCAAGAGGGGTCTCACTGCCTGTCTAGACTGTGAACGAAAAGTTTAGTCTTACAAGGAACTAATATGTGATCTTTCTGTTCGAAACACTTCGAAACACACTATCTCAATGTAAGACAAGGAGTATGATTGCATAAATAAATCAACTGCAAGCATATGTACTTTGACCGAAACATGATGGCCAGATCAAAATGGAATTGATAGAGTCTGCAAAACCGAGCTTTTACAGCATACCTCTAACACAATCGTCTACCTGCAGGGTTTTAAGATAATGTACATTCCTGAGCTCATTTCGGGGACGTCATCAATCCAACTCACTGGAACAAAGTGACCATAAATAATTTATAATAGCACATCATATAATCATTCTTGTTTACCAAAATATCTCGTATGTCATCCTAATAAAAATAAGAATCACTTGGTAAATCAAATAAACAAGAAGTGAATATATAAGCCTATTTTATATTATCTTACAGCTTACGTGAATGCATCAATCACCGAAGGTTTAGATTACAACAACAATCAGTGAGTCTCATAATCTTATCCTTACGCGGTCCTGTTCAACACTTATCATAAGTGCTAGTGTAATTCTTCAGTCAAAGACCAACTGAATCGAGAATACACTACAGTCTCACTACCTGTCTAGACTGTGAATGAATAGTTTAGTCTTATAAGGAACTAATAGGTGATCTTTCTGTTCGAAACACTTCGAACCACACTATCTCAGTATAAGACATGGAGTATGATTTACATAAATAAACAAACTGCAAACATATGTACTTTGACTAAAACATGATGGCCAGATCAAAATGGAATCGATATAATCTACAAAACATAGCTTTTACAACATATCGCTAACAATCTCCCACTTATGGTTTATAAGCTCATGGCTATAACAAACTAACCACAATTTCTTTCAATCTAATTCTCAAAGAC